GAGGGAGAGAGAGATAAAAATATCAATGTGAGAGAGAAGCATTGATTGGTTGCCTCCTTCACACCCCACATTGGGGATCAAGTCCACAACCTGGGCATGTGCTCTGACCAGGAATCAAACTGGGACATCTCAGTCCATGGGACAAAGCTCAATCCCCTGAGCTACACCGGCCAGGCAATAGAATGTTTTTAAAATGCTACTAGTTAGGCCCAGGTAGTATTGTTCAAGTATACAAATTTATGACTATAACTTGTTTATTCTCAAAGCTCTATCAGTTTTTTCATTATGTATTTTCAAGGTATGCTATCAGGTGCATAAATATTTAGAATTGTTATGTGCTTTCAATTAATTGACCCCTTTATCATAATGAAATGACCCTTTCTGTCCCTGGTAATATTCATTGCTCTAACATATGCTTTATCTGGTATTAATTTAGACACTTCAGATTTCTTTTTATTAATGTTAGTATGACATTTATTTTATTCTTTTACTCTTTTTTTTTTTTTTTGTAAATTCTCACCCGAGGATATTTCTGCATTTATCTTCAGGTAGAGTGGAAGGGAGGGAGAGAGAGAAAGAGAGAGACATCGATGTGAGAGGGACACATTGACTGGTTGCCTCCTGCATGACCCCAATCAGGGTGGGAAACAAACCGCAACTGAGGTACGTGCCCTTAATCAAAATTGAACCCGTGACTCATGGTGGTTAGTCCAGGGCCAACGTTCTAACCACTGAGCCAAACCGACCAGGGCTTTATTCTTTTACTTTTATATTTAAAGTAAATTTCTTGGCAGAGAGCATAAAGTTGGATGTTGTTATTTTATTGAATCAGACAATATTTACCTTTTATTTGGATGCTTACATCATTTACGTTTAATATAATTTAAATCGTTATTTTAAAATTTAACATCTTACTATTTGTTTTTTATTTCTTTCAGAATTGTCTCTTCTGATCTTCTTTTCTTATTTTTTTGTCCTCTTTTGGATTATTGTATTATTTTAAAGCATTCCTTTTATCTCCTGTTTTGGCTTATAGCTATAAATTCTTGTATTATTTTAATACTTTCTTTTGGGTTTATAGTGTACATCTTTAACATGCACAATCTAACTTAAAGTTATATTATGCTACTTGTACTATATATAGCTACTTGTACTATATATAGTACAAAACCTTTACAACTGTCCTAGTTGCCTATCTCCCCAGTGAATAACCCCAATAGAATGAGAATTTCTCAATATTGATTTTTCCAATCTCAGAGAGGACTCTGAGTGGCCCTGCTTGGGTTACATAACTCATCCCCGAACGGACGACAGTAGACTGTGACAGAAATATTTTGGCAAGCCTGAATTCCTGCATCAGCCCTCCTAGAACTTCATGGAATTGAGAAAGAGATCACCAGAGGAATCCAGCAAGAGGAAAGAAGTATGCTGGTTAGACAACAATTAGAGCTGTCATAGACCATTACAGGCAGGCTTACACAGAAAGAGTTTACAGATTGGCAGGTAGAGATTTCATACACTTGCTATTAATTCCCAGTATATCTTGCCAACAATACTGAACTTGGCCACACAAAGCAAGAGCAAATGAAGCATTTCTCTGTATGACATTTTCCTTCCCCTTGTACCCACCCCCAGGGCACTCAGCCACCAGTGACACTTCAGCTATTTGGTTCCTGTCAAGCTGAAAAGAAGGCAAATACTCCACCACCCTTTTATGTTTGACTTTTATTGGCATTCTGAATTTTTTCTTTACTAACAATATAAGTACTTCTGTATAATGCCGAGTTTCTCAACCTTGGGACTGTTGACATTTTGGACCAGATAATTCTTTGTAGTGAAGGGCTGCCCTATACATTATAGTATGTGTAACAGCATCCCTGGACTCTACCCACTAGATGTCAGTACGACACCCACCTCCCCAGTTTTGACAATCAAAAATTTTTCCAGGTAGTAACATGTAGCCCCTGGGGAAGCAAAATTGCTCCTGGTTGAGAATTACTGGTTTAAGGGAATGTTTACAAAGGTCAGGATCTATAGGGTTTTTTGGTTTTTTGTCCCCCCTCCTTTTTTTTTGATGTATTAGGGTGACAATTAACATCAGCTGATAAGGAGAAAGCAGAGTTAGCATCAGGTGCCATCGACTCCTGGTTCATATCCCCGCAAACCCATCTCTCCTCAGGGGGCCTTGTCTATTTTCCTCTCCTGCAAACACAGCTCCCAGGACCTGGCAAAAAGCAATGCTCAACAGCCACAAGCACAGCAAATGTGAAAAGAATAAGTGAGTGGCTGGCTGGCTGGCTGGCTGGCTGGAAGAAAAATATGGATGATTGATTATCCATTGTTACTCTGGGGAAAGGACATAGGTCGTGTGTACACAAGAAAGGGGATATTTGACTATTTTGTTTAAAAATTTCTGTATTTGAGCCCTGGCCGGTTTGGCTCAGCGGTTAGAGCGTCGGCCTGCGGTCCTGAGAGACCCGGGTTCGGTTCCCGCTAAGGGCATGTACCTCGGTTGCAGTTTGTCCCAGGCCCTCGTTGGGTCGTGTGGGTGGCAACCACTCGACGTGTTCCTTTCACGTCGATGTTTCTCTCTCTCTCTCTCTCCCTCCCACACTCTATCTGAACAAAAAAATAAAAAAAAATAGAAAAAATGTCCTCTGGTGAGGATAAAAAAAAAAAAATTTCTGTATTTGAAGTTTATTGTTTTTGCTCTCATAACATAGACATTTATTTATTTATTTTTAAAGCACTTAGATATCAAAGTAAGCATTTTCTCTTTAATAACTTTCTTTAATTTGCTGGGGTTTGGGGATTTTTTTTTTTTTTTTTTTTAGGACAAATGTGGACACCAGCCCTGGTTCATATTCTGAATATCACCAAGCCTGAAGCTCTGATTTTTTTCTTTCAACTCATGAACCGAAAGTCATAGACTATAAATATTTGTGAATGGGGTTTAGGTTGGGGAAAAAAATGTGCTTGGCACAAAAGTCACCTGCCACCTCACATTCAGTGTGTGCATTGGCCTGGCGGGGTCACATCTCGAACCCCACAGAGCGTGTGCAGCGTGGGCCCTCGGGAACTGGATGCTGAAAAGTGTGATGGTGATGAAGCTTCATAGGCGTGATGTTGGTCGCTCCCATTGCACTTGGTCCAACCAAGATTTTCGGGGCAGGGTGAGAGGAGAGAAAGAGTGAGCGGGTGCCGTGGAGCCCTCTGAGGGGAGAACAGGTGTCTGGCCCTCCTGCTTAGGGCAGGCAGAGGGCAAAGGAGTAGGCCAGGAAGTAGGGAAGAAAAGGATTTTGTGGGGGCAGCCGTTGCTTCTCTTTCTCCTGCCACAGCAGGACATGGGGTCAGGTCCTCCCTCTCCAGTGAGACAGACTCTCCTCCCGCAACGTGCAACCAAGCAGTGTGACACCCCCATCCTGCAGAATTCTCGTCTCCCCCACCTCCACCCCAGAGGGAGAGGCCCAGCCACCTGGGGCTCTTGAGGTCAGGGTTCCAGGAGCCGGGAGAGCCTGGCGTGCGAGGTGAGGTCATGTTTGTAAGAGGCAAGTGATGCACGAGGACACAGAGCACTCCATATGCTGTGGCGACCAAGCAGAGTCCCTTCCCCTCATCCTCCAGCAGAAGCGGTCAAGGCAGGGAGGCTGGGCGAGGTGACCTTCCAGAGCTGAATCTGTGCTTCTAAAAATAGAAGCATCCTTGGAGAATGGAGAAGGGGAGGGAGGCTGTGGAAGCTGAGGGCAAAAACCGGGCTCCCCAGAGCATTGTCGGAATGAAACTGTATTAATTAGACACACACGCCCAGCTCAATAACCTCAGGTATTACAGAAATTGAAACTAAATGAACTGGCTTCATTATTTTCTTTTCTGGTTACAATCTCCCTGGGCTGAAAAGGAGAAAGAGAAGCATGTCTTCTGAGTTATTTGAATGGCTGTGTACTGCCCAAGGAGATGTCTTCCCCAACCGAAGGGATTGGGGGCTCCTTAGAGACACACGAAGAGAAGACAAGCACCGCGGCCGGTGGGAGTCCTGGGTGGCGGTAGGGGCCATGGGTTCTGGGTCCCGGCCATCCCCCCCTGCATGGAGACTGCACAGGGCCCTGAGGCTGGGTGTGTCCAGGGCCGTGATGTGGGGTTCCTGGGTGCCACTCTCAGGCTTCTGAAGGGTCCTTGTCCAGAGCCATGTGGGGCTAGATGCTTCCAGGGTCCAGTGGAGCCGTGGGCTGGTCTGCACAGGTTGGTGTGACCAGGTTGTGTGCAGTACTTCAGTGGGTGGAGAAGTGGGGGTGTGAGTGTTTGGGGGTGTGGGGTGTTTGCAGGAGTTTACGTGTGTGTTGTGGCCTTTGGGGGTGGGGGCTGTGTAGGGGAGTGTGTGGACAAGAGTCCGTGCGGACAGTGACTATTCGGAGGACTCTGTGGGCCTGTGTGGGGCCTGTGATAAGAACTGGGGGGGAGGCCGTGTAGGAAACGGGGGTGGGAGCCTCTGAGGGGCTGTACGGGGAGCTGTTCGAGAGCCCGCTTGCGGCTGTGTGGGGTTGTGTGCAGGGCTGTGGTCGGGCTGCTCAGAACCGCAGGGCACCTCTTTGTGTAGCTTCGTCCTGGGGCTCTGTGTGGATTGTCATGGGGATATGAATGGACCCACGTGGGGGACTCCGTGGAGAATAGTTAAGGCTGTGGTGCCTTCTGCTCTGGGGGCTGCTTTCCGGGCCACTTGTGTGAGGCTGTGAGGCTGCAGGTGTCTGGTTAGAGGGTGGCGGAGGCCCTGGACGGCCTCCACAGCTTTGCGATCTATAGTGGGCTGGGCTTCCTTAGGGTGAGGGGCTCCCGAAGAGCAGGTGTTTCTTTTTCTCCACAGGACTGATGCAAAGGTGAGAGGCCCAGGGATTCACAAGATGGGCAGCGGGAGCAGGGCTGACCCTTCCAGTGCTGCCCCGCCGCTGACCCTTCTGCACCGGGCTGAAAACGCTTCCTAACTTCAGCTTGTGCTTCCTCAACAGGACAACGTGGATCTGGGAGAGCTGATGTTTTCCCTCTGCTATCTCCCGACGGCTGGCAGGCTGACCATCACCATTATCAAAGCAAGGAACTTAAAGGCAATGGACATAACAGGAGCATCAGGTAGGACTTTGTTTAATTCAGACTTTCTCATTTGATTCTATCATAGAATCCAATGAAGTTTCTGGTAGAGTAATAAACACATGGACTCTGGAGCCAAACTACCTAGGTTTAATCCCTGTCTTAGACCTAATAGTTGTGTGACCTTGGGCAGTCACCTGACCACTCTGTGCCTCAGATACCCAATCTGTAAAAGGAAGATAATAACAGTAACTGGCTCATTGGGTTATTATAAGATTAAATGAGTTAATTCATATAAAGCCATAAGAATATGCCTGGTGCATACTAAATGCTACCTGTTGTTAGCTATCTTCATTATTATTCTCTGTGAAGTCTTCTCCACCATAATTATGAACTGGGCCTATGATTTACACATGATAATATAGCTTATCCAATTGAGTTTTTCCTCAGATATAAACAATTACCATCTCAGGCTTAGTGAAGATTGAAGAATCCTATATCCTTATAAAAAGCTCATTAGTGAACTATGCAGTTTGGTTTTCCCAGTGAATCAAACATGTACCTTAAATTCTAAACACTAAAAAAAGCACCAGTATGCAGTTCCTAACATACAAATTCACAGGCAGCCTCTGCAGGAGCTCCCAAAACATGGTCATAAAATACACAGTCCACCGACTGTTGGTCACTGAAACCAAAGGACCTCAGATGCAATGTGTCCCGCTTCCTGCACTCCAGGGTTTTTCCAAGCTGACAAACAACGTGGCCCCTTCTGGCTCTCTAAGTCCCCCGGGCAGTGTGAGGGAGTCAGACAATGCATTGTGATGCAGGCGAAGAGAGAAGACCTCCCCACTGAGCAGTAGGATAGTGAGATGGAACTCAGGAAGTCCCAAGTGAAGCAGAGACCGGCCCTGTCACCTGTCACCTGTCACCCCATCCCAGCTTCGCACCACAAGCAAGCCTGTGTCCTTCCTCTCCCTGACTACGGAACTGCTTCCCCATTGGCAACTGACTGCAGGCAGCTCTGGGGCTCAAGGCCCCTACACCTAGGAAATCAACTCCTGACCTTCTGCCTGTCCTCAGGAATTCAGCTTCCCCTTTCCCAGAGACCTGGTACTTAGGACAGCGTGGTCCGGAGTGGCCCGGAGTCAGGGCCTGCGGCCCATCTCCACACCTTTGCGTTTCTCTTCCTGTCACCGCCAGGCCAGTTTGATTCTAGCTGGAACCATTTCTAATCTAATAACAGGTGTGTTTTCCACACTGTTTTTGAATTCCACGCCTTTTGAGGAGACAGGGTCCTGTGCTTTTTCGTGAATGAACGACTTAATTATGCTACCTCTGGTCGCTGCCCAGGCGTTGCACTGATTAAACCCCTCCAACTCCAGCCGACACAGCCCGTGGAACTCCGCAGTGGAACGGGGGCCTGAGTCTGGTCTGTCCTCACAGTGCCCCTGCTTCCCGTGGTCTCTGCAGATCCCTACGTCAAAGTCTCCATGATGTGTGATGGCAGACGGCTGAAGAAGAGGAAAACATCCACCAAGAGGAACACCCTGAATCCTGTTTACAATGAAGCCATAGTCTTTGATGTCCCTCCAGAGAGCATTGACCAAATCCACCTGTCCATAGCGGTCATGGACTACGACCGGTGAGATACCTGGAGCTCTCTCTCAGCGCAGGTCCGCTCTGTCCAGGGCAAGGAGGGCGGGGGTGGGGTGGGGTGCAGCCAAGATTCTCAGCTGGTGTCCCAGCAGCAGGGGATGACTCAAATGAGCAGCGCTTGGAAAGCTGATTGACCAGGAGCCCCAACATGCTGCAGGTCAGGTTATGAAAGTGCCTCTTAGCTCCCCCATCCTTTCCTCCCCCCTTTGAGGCTCTTTCTCCTTCTCCATCCTCTGTTACCTCCACCCCTTCCCCTCCCCACCCCACACACCCCTGAGAACTGTGGCCCCACAGGTCTAAACCTCTCGGCGGCCCTGCCTGGCCTGTGTGGAGAGATTCCACTCAAAATAGCAGAGTGATCACTTTAGCCAGACCATCTACATTTCCAAATACGTAACTTCGTTACTCTTTCCCTTCTTCCAGTGTGTTTAATAAAGATCATTTCCATCCACTTAAGTCTGAAAGCAAACACAGAAATCTTCTCTTGAAAATGCTGGAATCAGTATGGGTGACAGGGTACATTAAAATGTATAAGATGCTCGACTTTCTAATTAATACAGCACAGAAGAGATATTTATAGCATACATTGTAGCCAGTTGTGTATTTAAAGGACAGATTTGAAAAACAGTCACTTTAATATGCAAAGAAAGTACCAACAGGGAATTATATATGTTAAACCAGTCATTAGACTGAAATGAAAAGTCTCTTTTTAATTGGAAACCTCCCACGTGGTCTGGGCACAATTATGGAAAAAATCATTCTGACTTCTAATATAATCTTCCAAATATTATTTGTAGCTAAAAATTTTCCCACATACCCCTGAAATGCCAGCAAAGCAGCTCCAGTGCCCTGAACACTGCCCAGCAGCTGCCTGGGGGAAGCATAACCACCTCCCAGCCCAGGGGCACATGGGTGTGAGAGCCCACTGGGCAGTAGGCCTTCCTCCTGTCTCCTCTGGACGAAACACAACACCAGTAGCGCCGGGCCACAGGAGGGGACATTGCCCACCAACCGTGGAAAGCTAGGCCAGCATTTTTCCAGCTATTGCCAAGTTCTCCGCATCAACAAATCTGATTATGTGAGCTCTGCTTCAGTGTAATTCTCAGTAAGCTCATGAATCTGGCCTGGAAAAATCCATGGCAGAATCACAGAGCTTCTGCAGGCAACTGATTTTAAAGAGCAGAGACTCGGATACCCCTTCCCCCGTGGTCTCCCCCTTCCTCCCCACACAGATAGGAGAGAAGACAGTCATCTTTGAAGGAAGAAAAAAAGGAGAGAAAGCCTGGTGTGTTTGGATACCAAAGAGTTAAAGGATGGGCCATGTCATTCTAGTTGTGCCAGGGATTTCTCACCAACATCTGCTAAAGAAAAAAAAAAAAAAAAAACAGGCCAAGGCAGGGACCTGCCCAGGGAATGTTTCAGAAATGTTAGGCCTAAAGTTAAAGGAACTAAGACTATTTTTACAGTAGGGAAATCAAATCGGATCAAGAAGCATGACCAGCATGTTCTCTATAGAGAGGGGCAGCCAGAAGCCCTAGGAGCCTCCTCAGCCTTCTTTGTGAGCTCGGACTGTGGCTGCCAGACACACAGCTGCCCCCTTACCGGTACTTGCTTCTCTCCTGCGGAAATTCACGCAGCTCTGATGGCAAGAAACTCCATTCAGGTGGCCCGCTTTTCATTACATGGATTTGGAGGCCTGGAGGTCCACCTAATTCCAAAACCAGACAGACGTGGCATCCTTAGCATGCATCAGGGAGCTCTTCCAACATAGGTTCTTAGGAGCAAGCTAGGCCGTTGCACGTAACAGTTGCGTGTTACAAAGCCTAGGTGTGAGGGCCAGACTCTGCTCTTGGTCTCTGTGCCACGGAGTACAACACTGGATCCCAGCTCCTATTCTCTGTTCACCTTGGCCTCTAGTTTAAAATTAGGGAACAGAAAGAACCAGCCCTCCCCTAATTCCTTTATTGGCTTAATTAGTAGCTATTGTTCTCACAGACTAACATTTTAAGAAAAAACTATTGTGGGGCATTTTCACAGTATAGGTCACAATGAGGTCATCGGCGTGTGTCAAGTAGGCAACCAAGCGGAGAGGCTGGGCAGAGACCACTGGAGCGAGATGTTGTCATACCCTCGGAAGCCCATTGCGCACTGGCATTCCCTGGTGGAGGTAAGACCCGACCCCCACCTGCTCCACTTTATGGAAGAATAAATGCTTGACTGGTGAAATGGAGGAGCCACCAAAACTGTGAGTGTACATTTCCTGGGCTTGAAGGAATAGCATTCAGTCTGGGCTTGAGTGTGTGGTATCCACCCGCCTGGTGGGTTTTGAGCAAAGGTCTTTGCTTTGTTTGTTTGATTGTTCTTTGAAAAGGTCGAGATTCTGTGATTCTCCGCCATGGCTTTAGGTTGACATTAGAAGGACATCTGCAGGACCTGGGCGAGTGTGGCGTTTTCAGGCTGCGATATCGTGACTTGCGCCTGGCGTCAGAAAGAACTTGAGACTAGGAGAGAGGAGGCCAGGATACGAGGACTGACTCTAGCATGAACTTGTGATTCTGCACAAGTTGATTAGTATCAGATTCAACTACATACGATAAAAATGTAATAAACAACAAGAGAAATGAAAATGTATTTCTGACTGACATAGTCAAGGTCCAGAGGGAGGTAGTCTAGATTGTTATAGTGACCTAAACTCCTTTTATCTTTCTACTTCACTGATCTAGTAGGACTTTTTTTTTCTTTCTTTGAGGTCACCTCATTGTACAATATAGCTGCTGAACTCTAGCCATCACATATAGGTCATAGAAAGGTGACCAGAAGCACACACATTCCTTTTCCAAGGATCTCCCTTGATGTCTCATGCAACACTGGTACTGACAATTTCCTTGGTCACAGAACCTAGTCACATGGACATATGTGGGAAATGTATTCTTTCTGTTGGGTGGAAATGTGCCCAACTAAAAACTAGGGTTTTGTTTGTAAGGAAGAAGAGGATACTGCGAGGCAGTGGGCCATCATTCTGCCTCTCATACCTTCACTCATGCTCTCGCTCCCCCATCTTTTACTTCTCATCTATTTGTCTGGGCTCATAGACTCACTCTCTGACTTATTCACTAACTCATTCTCTCAAAAACAACTTGTACCCACTAGGTAACCTTTCTGAGGGTCAAATACCATATTAGGTGCAGAAAATAGATGTGAATAAGAAACCATTCATTCCTTCCCCTGAAGAGGTTATACACCATAAGAGAGACAGAATCTGGTGTGTAAACTGGTCATTCAAGTGCATGTTCATAATCATCGTCGCCCACATCCAGTACTACAGAGCAGGAAGCAAGAAAGTGTGTGGTGCTTAGATGCGACTGTCTGTGAAGCATGTCTTCCTCCTCCTGGTAGGTGACGAGAACTGAGCCCCTGGGAACTTTCCTCTTGCTCTCTCAGTGCAGACAGCTCTGTCCCCTGCAAAGCCATCCCGAGAAGCCACCGCCGAGCCTCCCCATGTGCGCTCTACTGCCATCGACAGCGGGTTAGTCTGGTGGCAGTCAACACGCAGGCAGCATAGAGCGGCAGAGAGGCCCCCAGCTGGCCTGGGGACAAAGGGATGGGCTTCCTTTGTTGGAGATGGTGCCAGAGGGAGAAGAGCTGGACAGGGTTCATGGATTGATTCTAAGCTTCGGGGTATTCAGGAGGAGCCTGGGGCCCCCAATTTGCAGGTTGCTGAGGACCCCTCTGCCCCTGGGCCATCGAAGCCAAGACTCTTTCTTTCCTGGGCTCAAAATTAATCCCTAAGGGAGACCCACAGGCCCTGTGAAGCTGGAGATGTAGCTGGAGGACTGTGCCACCAGACTTCACCTCACTGCTTTCGCTCCTGGGCAGGTCTCAGAGGAGCCCGTCTGGGCTCATTACCTTGTCTGCGCCTGTCGCTAGCGGTGGTGGTTACAGCAGTTGTGACAGACGTTTTGCACCCTGATAAGTCATTGCTGACTTCAATTTTTATTTGTCATCTGGTGTGTCAGTGGGTCACTTCCCAAGTCACAGGCCAGGGGAAGGGATAAGGGTTGGAGGTGTGGCGTGGGGCTGTGACATGGGCGCTGGTCCAGTGTACAAGCAGGTCTTTCTCATGACCTTGCCAGGGAGTGACCCTGGGTGGCGCGTGTACCAGGGGCGTGTGGGCAGCAGACCTTGGAGGCTTCCTTCTCTGCCAAGGAAAAGATGCTGTATGACTTGGGTCACCTGGGAGATACTCCTGAACCCTAAGCACTTGGCTGTTTGCAAATCTGTGTTGGACAGTTCTGTAAGTGAGAAATAAATGTTTCTCAGGTTAAACCACTAAGTCTTGGAAGTCGATTGTTCCAGCAGCTAGAATAACTTCGGCTAATACAATGGTTACTTCTCAGCTGTTACAGCAGAACTGAGGAAGTGAAACAGAGGTGCCCCTTTCATGAAGGGCAAACCGAGGGGGGCTGGCCTTGCCCTGCGGCTTCCTGTCTCTTTGAAGTACGTGCCCAGAACTCCAGATCCATCCTCAGAAGGGGAAGCAGTACTTTTCTTTTTAAAAATAAATGTGCAACAAGCAGAACTGGGGCACTGATACCAGAGGAGATGAAAAGCTGGACCAGGGAGGCCACTGCACTTCGCTGACCGCCCTGAGGATGGAGGGGCTGCGGGCAGGGCAGCGGGAGGCACTCACTGTGCAGCTGGAGGGACCTGCAGTCAGGTCCCGGTGTGGCCGCTCACGAGCGGCTTTTCCCTTTCTGAGTCTGAGTTTCCTCGTCTGCGAAGTGGCCGTCACAGCACCTGTCTCACAGGGTGGTGGGGAGTAAACCATCTGACAGGTGTGAAGCGTAGTGGTTGCACATAATAAATGCACAGTGAAGTCCTCAGTTACAGTCATTTCATGTGTATCCCACACTCTGAGTGACTGCTGTGTCCTCGTGTGGCTATCACACAAAGAAATCTTGTCTATGTCACAGAAGATCACAGGAAGGTTGGGAACCCATACCCCTGCACCCCATGAGCCATTGCCTCAGACTAAGGGGAGGGGTCTTTGCACCTTTGCTGGACCTAGGTGCTCATGTCTATGTTCTCCTCCTTCCTTCCTCTGCCTGAAAGATGCAGTTATACCCTCTTCCTTTAAATTTCTGCTTTAAACCAAAAACAGTAATTCAGTCCCAGATCGTGTGTGTGTGTGTGTGTGTGTGTGTGTGTGTCTGTCTGTCTGTCTGTCTGTCTGTATAAGCATGTGTGTTTGAATAAGAGAGAGAGGCTGCTCTGGCAGAAGCTCTTCACTGCTGGGGCTGAGGGACCAGGTTGGGACTGAACCCCAAACCTGCAGAGATCTGGCAGCCACTTGGAACTGCATCCAGCCTGCTCTGACCTTGCCAGATGGAGTCTTCAAAGCCAATGAGTTCAGAAATCTGTTTCTCTCCCAGGGATTCTGGATGGTTTCACCACACACACAGGTCAGCTAGTGCTGCTCCCTTCACTGCCCAGATGTCAAAGGCTTGAGAAGCTGTGCAGACCCCCCAGAGCAGGCTGCCTGGGACCTGGGGCCTGAGCAACCCCTCTGTGGTGCTTCAGATGACAGAACTCTCGGGGCTCCCCCCACAGTCTCCTCCCCACTTCCACCATATATCCAAGAGAAAATGGAGTCAGCCTGGCCACATCCCAGCACCTTGCCCACATGGCTGTGTAGCTGACCTACCTCATGATCCCTGTAGAGAATCACAGAAACAGTTCCAGGTTTTCATCGCTCCCATGTGTAGTGCTATATACACCTTCCCCATTAACACGTCATAAACCTGGTTTGATGGGAAGATACTGTTGGGGTAAATCAAATTTCACTTTTCCGAAAGGGACAGAAGACAGAGGTACAGACTCTAAACCTCCAAGCTCAGCCTTTTCCGCATACTATGTCCAGAAGGCTCACGGAGTTCATCCACCCCCTAGCCTGGCGGTCTGCGGGGACCCCCTCAGGGAGCCGATGCCCCCTGGAACTCGGTTCTACAATTCGCGGCATAGCTCGGGGGCAGGTGTGGCCCAGTGAGCCCAGGAAGGCAGAGCCCTCATCTACTTCTGCCTCGTTAAGGGTGTGAACGCAAAGCAAACATCAGTTACGCAGACTCAACAGGGAGTTACACTGGGCCCTTTACACCAGGCGCCCAGCAGAGCGTACCTGGAGTCTGAGATCCCCACACTCCCAGGAGGAGGCATCTGATTGCCCAGGTTGGGTTAGGTGTCCACCCCGGTCCAGTTCACTGGAGGCCATGGAGATGTGAGCTGATGCTCTGTCCAGCGGGAATACGGGAACTAGACTTCCTGAGGTGGGCCTGGCAGACAGTCATTGACAGGAGTGAACACGACTGTGACCCAGAAGATCTGAAGTGAGGGAGCCAGAGGCTTTAGCACTCTGGGGAAATTTTTATTCACCACAGGTTTAGGAAACAGCAGTGATTCCCCAGAAAGAGGGGTGTGACTAGGAAAGGCCAGCAGATCAGGTTCCCATCAGAGGGGTTCAGGTGTGGTGCTGGGCTTGGGTCCTGGTGTCAAGTAGACCAATAGAGAAGGAAACTGAGTAGAAAAGTTATTGTGAAATAGCACAGTTGAGGCACAGGACAGGGAGAGCCTGAGCAGGTGCTGCCCCTCAGCAAGCAGGAGGTCCCTGAGGTGACCTTGGCACCCAGCTTGCAAGTCTTGGGAAACACCATGAACTCCAGGCCCTGTGAGTAGCCAGTGAACCTAGGCTGCTGGTCACATGCTTTGCCCTCCTAAGTGTCTCAAGAACTGAGCATGAGCCTAACGTGCATGGACACCATCTCCCCCACACTGTGAAAGGCTCCCCACACATAGCCCAGCAGAATGTCTCAGTGTCTCAGAGAACAAAACATTTGTTCTGGATGGAAACAGAGAGAACAAGAAACGTTTAAAAGTTCATTAAAATAGGGCAAGAAAATGTAAATTCCTTGATCTAAAATAGATACCATCCTGGTAAGAAACAGGAAGGGAAAAAATCAATTTGATCTTGCTAATTACTATTTTTCAGTAATTTCTAGGTTATATCAGTCTCTTTGGGATAAATATTCAATCAAACGTAACATCTGGTTTCTCAACTAGAACTATTTCCCTTCTTCCTAGAGACCTCCCCTCCCCCCTAGCCCTCCCCCCTCC